AAAGTGAATGGTTCTACAAACTCCAGAGGAGCTGTGCATTTAATATCTTTCATCGATGAAATATTAGAACGTTTAGAAAACGAATCGACGTCGATATTTCGTTGTTACGAAAAAAATAATGCTGGGGTTCGTGCGACAGCTACGTCGAAAAAAGCTGAAGCGTTCTTGCGGTTCACGAAGAATTACACGTCGACGCTTTTGGCGATCTGAAGCGTCGCTCGAGACAGCCGCAGTCTGCGAGTTTTAATAATAATTCTCGAGGCCAACGACACTTCTCCCTCGCACTTTTAATCTCGAGAAACTGCGCCGTCGTAAGAAAGACAAATTATTTTTTCTGCAAAACTCTTTTTCTGTTCACCGAGTGTTTTCGAGACCGGGGCGAGTGCTTTCCTCGGATCATCGTGGCGCGATGCACCGAGTCCGAGGCGGTGCAGCACGTGCCTCGTGTGCGAATATATATTTAGACGCACACGTGCGGTTTGTTCGGTTCCGCTGTTCAAAAGTGTAAACGAGAAAGAGAACCGTGTTGCGAATCTCTACGAGAAAACCTCCACGTTTTACACTCCCGCACATCGTTTCTCTTATCAAACGATGAGATATCCGATACTTTATTGCTTCTCTTTGAGCAATTAAGAGAGAAGAGACGGAATAATATCTGTTCCGCGTAAAAGTAGATCTGCATACATCTGCAAAAATTACGTACGCGCACGTAATATGAAAACATGTCTGACCACACTTGTATGAGTGTTCGTACAAATTGTATTTCAGAGTGTGTCATAAATCTGTACAAATAGGATTTCTTTCATCTTTACGAAACATTCGTATAGATCATTTTCCACCGGGAACAGGGAATTGAGAAACGTTTTACGAAACGTGGTGGGACGAGGCTGAAGGGTCGTTTCGACGTAAAAGAATAATACTGTCGTTTTCGTGCATGCATCCGGTATCCAAAGTAGTGAAAATCGACGTGGGCGCGTCGATTCGTGGGCGCCGCGGTGTTATAGTTCGCTCCTTGTATAGAATCGACGCACGTGTATATCTCTCTCTACCTAGGGACGCGATTGCACCCACACGCGTACGCGGGCGTACCATTTTCTGAAAATTAATCTCCCGTCCGACGCCCACTCCCGTGGCGCCCGAGCTTTCATGTTCCCTTTCGCGAAAAGAATCCAAATATAGCGCTCTCCGATGACAGTGGCTGGATTCGATGCTAAATCGATTCATCGATGAGTACGAAGGTTGAGACCTCGTGACATTTCACGGAATGTTAACAATTTTAATAATCTCGAATTATAGCAACTGTTTCACGTTGTTGTTGAAGCTTAAATTTCACGAAGAGCCGCCTGGAGTCTAGGGTATGTCGGAATTATTGAAGGTTCGGGAACAAGCGGCTCCGATGCAATTGGGATTTTCGTTGGTCGACGAAGACGTTGTTCGAGTGCAAGCTAAGAGGGTCCCATTCGCCGTCCAGTTTAATGAAGCTAATTAACCCGAGCGTCTAACCGCGGAGGGGACGAGTTCAACGTTATTACGTATTACTTTCGACGCTAGCAGCGAGTTAAACTGAAATTGAACAGATCGTCCGTTTAAAGAAAAAGGTTCGAAAACTAGAATTTTTATTGCCATTTCTTTAAGTTTTCTACGAGATACGACGACCCTGATTCGACGAATTTGTGTTAATAACGTTCGGTGGAACATTGTAAACGTACGTAGCTCGTGGCAGAGGCGAGCGAGTCGTATTGAAACGCGTGGACGAGTAGCACTCGAGACAAAGGGCTCTTTTATTCAGAGTTCACGGACGGGTGAATAGCGAATAAAGTAGTTCAGCAGGACTACGGAGGTCCATTGTTGAAATTGTCCGGCTGCCGTTGGATTAACAGATTCCACCTATCTCTATTTGTCTTTTTTTTATTCGCAACGAAAAAGAGTGGAGGCATGCCTCGACACGCGAACGGGACACGCGTCAAATTAACAATTATCCGTTGATCCGAGTACGATTAGATGAAATTCTATTCTCTTTTATCAATGGCAATTCCTAAAAGACGAATTCCTTGTCTCTCGACCCTAAACAGCAATTGATCCGCGCGATTTCATTACGCTAAACGTTTCGGGATTAGAATATAGTTTCAATCGTGAAAGGAACGCGTCGAGCGTGGATGATTATTCGCGATTCATGAAACGCGAACAGAGTCACGTTTTCAAATACTATATGCACACGCGGACGAGTGTTGCTTCAGACAAAAGTCTCCTCTGTTCAAAGAGCTGCCAACGTTAATTCAGCGTTCTTTCACCACTGGTATAATAACCTCGCGCAAATTACGCTGGATACGTTTATGAAAAAGCTTTCTGCTCGATATTAGACACTTACATTGGATTTCACTCGAGTGTTCGCTGTAATTCGCGTAAAAGTGTTCTTTAGTACCGCGCGAAGATTCGATCTATCGATACGGTGCGTGGATACGATTCTTGGGAGAGTGATCGCAGACGATGTGATTACCTAAATTGAATTTACTAATTAGATTAGAAAATTCTTTGGTTGTTCTCGTAAGGTTCATCGCGATTTCCCACGAGGAGTTAAGGATGTATTGGCTATACAGTCAATCCCAAAAGTTTATGCACTTTAGAAACACATTTTTTAAAAAGAAATCAGACGTCGGAAGAAC